ATCCTGTGCACTTGGCTGTAGCTGATTGGTTGGCAGGTTTGGTGGATTTGATTGACGATTTATTAAGTGATATCTGGGTTCTGATTGGCCAGTTTTTGTGATTGGTTGAGATATTTGGTTGGTAGTTACATTGACATTTGTTTGATTTGAGGTCCTGTTGCATAACTCTGCTGGCAAGACAGTTTTGTTGATGAAAGAAGTTTGTGATGATGGTGGCTGGTTTTCTTTTCCTAACTGGTATGATGTTGTAAGGGTAAATGTGCTTCCCTTTTTCTTTGTGTTTCTGTTAATTTGGATCATATTCCACGGCACGTGTTTTGAATAATTCCATCCTTTGGTCATTACTTTTTGAAAGACTTCATTTCTCAGTTGACTTTCGCTTGCAAAGATCCTTTGGAGAGAATTGTGAAAGTTTAGAAATTCGTCGAGAAGTTGGGAAGGCTTTTCTGTGAGAACTGAAACTTGTGCCAGAAGATTTTTTTGATCTTCAGAGATTGCAAACTCTATTTGGAACACACTTAGATTTGTTAAATTAGGTCTAGAGATATTGGTAGTGGGGACGAGCCACTTAGTAGAGTAGTTGTTGAATAAGGGTATTGCTATCATTCTGGAAGGTTCTGTAAGAATGACTTCTTTATTTTCATTTTGGTATATTAAGAAAACATGGTGATGGGTTCTGTCTACAAGAATAATATTTAGAAGACTAATATTGTTATTGTTGTTTGCATGGAATGTTGTGGGTGATGAGAAGTGGGAATCATTACTGATAGTTGGACTTGGTTTTGAATTTTGATTGGTCATAGTTAATTGGATAGATTGATTGTAGTGACATGTTTGTTGTTTTTAATACTTGCTTAAGAAGCTGTGGTTGCGGTATAGACGTGTCAACTATACAATGTGTTTGTTTTGCTATTGTGTTTATGTTGTTGACATGTTGGTATTGTTTACTTAAGCTTTTTTGGTTTTGGTTGACGTGTTAGCTACGGGACGTGTTTATTTTGCTGTTACGTTTACGTTGTTGACGTGTTGATGTTATTTACTTAGACTTATTTGGTTTTGGTTAACGAGTAGATCTTGTTTACTTTGGATTGTTTGATTTGTTTTACGTGTTTTCTGATATGTCGATCACTTGCTGGAGGTAAGCTGATTCTGGTTTTTCCCCTCAATTAAAAATTTGTTGCGTAACTATAGTTTGTTGATATTGACTAATGTATTGTTGTTTGTTTATTTGGGTCTTTTGATCTGGATTCCCTGAGAAAAGTCTGGTGTCCCCTTGTTTTTTGTTTGGTGTCAAGGTTGCCTGATTTATCAGGGTAAATCTGGCCAGCAAAAATTCTTCTGGTGTCTAGGAAGGTGCAGAATCTTGTACACGACTGGTTAGAAGCTAGGAGGGTTGATGCTGACTTTTCTTTGAGCTTACTGTGAATTGTAATGCTTGTGTTTTCTTTTCTCTGGTATAATTTGTCTATTGAGAAAAGAAAAGATATCTAACAGGAATAGTTAGTAGTATAGTTCACAGAGTAAATTTACCTTTCAGGATAGCTGTGTTTTGATTATAGTTCTTTATTACTTGTGATTCTTTTATGTTTTTTTGAAAGTAAAGATGATTTTTGACAAGTGTTCTTAAAATTACCAAAAAAAACAATTTTTAAGAATTTGATGGTTTACGGGAAAGAGTTTTTTTTTAGATTTTTTTATATTTATTTATTTATTTATCTATTTATTTTTATTTTTTATTTAATAAAAATATAAATGAAAACATGTTAATTTGTATTTTAATTTTTTTTGAATTTTTTTAAATAAAAAAAAAATTACATTTTTATTCTTTTTTAGCTAAAAAAACAAGAATCAAATTTAATAAGTAGTAAAAAAGATTTGACCATTGCACAAAAAGAAGCCATTATCTATGGTTACTTTAGAGGTGACTCGTATTATGCCATTGCTGGTAATGTTGGCTGTAAGAAGTCTTCTATAGAAAATATTATAGGTGAATATCATGAGACAGGAACCACTGAACCACAAAGAAAATGTCCTGGACGTCCACCACTCCTTACCGCTTTCAATTGTTCTATTCTTAAAACTCTTGTAACTAATAGAAACTATTGTTTAAATGTCATCCAAGTTGTCACTACTTTCACTGCTCAAACCAAACTTCATATATAAAAAAACATTATCTGTCATATTCTAAAAAAAGAAAATTTAAGGTCTTGCATTGTACATTCAAAACTATTAATCTCTACTATTAATACATTGAACAGACTTATTTGATGTCTTACTTGTAAGAACTGGACCATCCAATACTTCAGATGTATTCTTTGGTCAGGCAAAACATCTATTCAGCTTTTTCAGCAAGTTCTTTTCTGGATTTAGTATAAATTGCATGAGAAATGAAATGCTGAATGCCTAAGCTATACCATTAAATGAAACTCTAGCCATATATTTTGGGGCTGCTTCTCTTGGCACAGAACTGACTCTCTAGTTCTGTTAATTAATAATGGCACTAGGACTTCATATGTTGGGTTTTTGTACAAATATGCCATACCTATCTTAACAAAATATCTGAAAAATGCAGATCATGATCATTTTTTATTTCAGCAAGACAACAGAAGACCCCATATTTTGAAAATCACTACTACATTTTTTGAAGATCACAAGATCAGGGTATTAGACTGATCTGCTCAGAGCCCTGATCTGAATCCCATTAAGAACCTCTGGCATGAGGTTAAGACATCTGTGTATCGCAAACTAAAGTCTAGTAATCTTGCTGATTTCAAAATTCTTATTAAACAAGCCTGGTGAAACGTTTCACCAGAAATTTGCTGCCAATTAGTAGATAGTATGCCGGATTGTATTATAGCTTGTATTGCTGCTAACGGAGGTCCTACAAAGTACTAAGACTTAATATTAGCTTGAATTTTTTTAAAAAAAATATATATATATTAGCTTTGAGTTTTTTTTTTAAAAAAGATTTTCATTTGATTTGTAATTTTGATTTGATAATAATTTGTAATACAAAGGTTTTTTGATTATAAATTCCAAGTAAATTATTACAATTACATAAAATTTAAATATAATATACTTTAACATATTATAAAAATATTTACTTAGTATAATAAAAAATTTTTTTGCTTATTAATTTATTTT